AGATTTGAAGTTTAATAATAAAATATAAAGTGGGTAAAATTTTAAGAAAGGATTACTTCTCATTTCATAACTTAAAAAACAAAAAAAAAAAAAAACCTTGAAACTAGCTGTTCAACTTATAGTATATTTAGATTGAAAGGAATGGACGAAAGGGAATGGTCCCGAAAGGAGAGGAGGAAAGAGAAGGAGAGAAAGGAAGAGAAAGATTTTTTTAATCAATTAAATTATAATATTTAAAAAACATTATAATTCAATTAATTGAAAATTTTTTCATTCTTTTTTTTTCTATTTCTCTTAATCCAAACATATATTCATCGTTTGCTTGTTTACTTCTCCCTTCAACTTGTACCTCGTAAGCCCCTTAACTATTAAGAAAAAAAACTATTATTTTATTAAAGTTAATTAATTTAAGCACTACATTGTAAAAAAATAGTTTAAAAAATGAAATTCCTTTCTTGCCATGTCGGATAACTTCATCACATTTATGGCAACTGAAGGATTGATTAAGCCTATGAGGTTCAAGTTTAAGAACTGATTTGTTTAAAGAGCTTAAGTGTGAAAATTAGATTAGTTTAGGGGCTTCAATTATGATTTATGAATGTCGATAGCCATATGTAGTTTTTTTTATACGTAAATGTAAGGATTAAATTTTAAATTTATAATTAAATATATAAATAATTTTGTTATCAAATTATGTGATTGATAGCACTTAAGTTTTGTAACTAAATAATTATATATTTCATCTTAAAAATACATTACTAACCCTAGGTTTAGGATTCAAATATTTTTTTTAAAAAATTGTAATCGTTAAAAAAAAAAAAAAAGTGATTGATAGTTGTCTCTACTCCCTAGTTAGCATTGAATTTTGATTTACCATTCACCAACCCTGACTGGAAATATTTATGATTCTGTGTTGTCTTCCTTTGCTTCTGCTGAATGCCTGAAACTCTCACCATGTATTATTTTGTAATTGTAGTCATAAGTTTTTTTAAAATTTTTTAATATTATAAAAATATGTAAAATATATAAAATAGATTAAATATTTATTATAATTAATATTTTATATATATTTAAAATAATATAAAAATATAAAAATTAAAAACTTAAGAATCAAGATACACTGTCAAAAGAAGCGTTTGTCACTGCATGAGTCGGAAGACCACCAGGGGTTTGAAGTCAGAACCCCAGCTGCTCCTTTCCTTATTAGCTGTACTAACTGTAGAATTTTGCCTTCTTTTTTTTTCTTTTTTTTTTTTGTTTTGAATATACCCCATTCCCAAGTACAATCAGATAAAGACAAACATTTACCCCTTTATTGCCTTGAAAGTTACAATATAATATATTGCCATCCCATGGAGCAGAGGTGGAACAATCAAAGCATGGGGCTGAGTACAGGCCCTTCGCTCCTACTTAAAACCATTTTCCATGTTTGGACTTCCACAACACCACATTTTATCTACCCGTTACTTCCATTTTCTTCCTCCTGCCAACGCCACCAACGGCCACAATGAACCGCACCCTTGAATACCCCATTGTCTCAACGCTCCAATACTGGCTAGTGAACCACCCTAAAATCCTTCATTTCTCATGGAACCACGGCGGAACCATAGGCTCCTCCCCACTGTTCCTCTCCCTCACCGTTCTATCCTATCTCTTCTTTACTTGCCTCCTGTCACAAGAACTATCTCGCCGTTCTCCACTTCCCCGCCGCCTCATCAAATCCATCGCCGCCATCTACAACATCACCATCCTCACCCTCAGCCTCACCATGGCCGTTGGATGCTCCCTCTCAGTTTTCTCCTATTCCCCCAACTTCCAATACCTTATTTGTTTCCCTAAATCCACCACCTCCACTGGTCCTCTGTTTTTCTGGGCCTACATGTTCTACCTCTCCAAGATCGTGGAATTCATGGACACCCTTTTAATCATCATGAGCAACTCCGTCAAACGCTTGACCTTCCTCCATGTCTACCACCACACCATGGTCGTGACCATGTGCTACATTTGCTTAAGTAGTGTGCAATCTTCCTTCCCCATGGTCCTAGTTACCAATTGCCTAGTACATGTGTTAATGTACACATACTACTTGTTAACTTCACTAGGGGTCCGCCCCTGGTGGAAGAGATTGGTGACAGATTGCCAGCTTCTGCAGTTCTGGTCGAGCTTCGGCATCCTGGCTCTGCTTCTCTACTTCCATTTCACCGGACCAGGGTGCTCCGGCATATGGAGTTGGTGCTTCAACATGTGCTTCATTAGCACCCTTCTGGTCTTATTCACTGATTTCCATAGAAAGAGTTATTCTCCCAAGATCAAGAGTATTTGATTAATTCAAGATTGCATTTTTTATTTTTAAAAAATTTTCAAGGATTCAATGGGCGTTCTTAGCTACGGCTGCATTGAATACAAATGCATGTTCCTCTGCCCGATGTGTTGGCCACATAATAACAGTATGTTATTACAAAATTTATGTTTCAATGATTCATGGTTGCAGAGCTTTCAATTTCTATCTTATTATGCCATAAACTGAGTGGTCCTCTCTCTTTATAGCAAAATTTGAATCTCATGCAAGCTAAATCTTTCATGTTAAAAGGTGAAGCACAAGAATCAAATTTTGATTCAACACCAAGGACCACCAACATGCAAATCATTTTGACTGTGACTCTTATCTCATATTCTTTTGGTACTTTTTAATTAAGGTCATCAGCATGTTCTTAATTACTGGACTAATACTTTATAGACACTGTTATCTCTAATTTTTTTTAATGAATTGAAATTAGTATATATTTAATTGAATGAAGATAAAGAAAATGAGATCCATGAAGTTTAAACACGTAATCACAGAAAGTGATTTTCACTAATTCATTAGATCGGAGCATAAGAATCACACTGTTATCTTCAAATTAGAAGAAAACGAAATGAAAGAAATGATATAGGAAAAATGGGATAATATTCCAGTGCAATGTAAATGTTGATGATTGTCGAGGTAAGGTATCCATTAGCTACGCTTAAGAAGTAAGGAACCCTTTTTGTGCTGTCGTTCCACTTAGATTCACTCACTCATTCACGTATTCCCCTTTCCACTTTATCATACCTTTTGCTCAAAACATAAAAGACAAATCTCATTTGCCTCTGTCCCTTAGAAACCTTCATAGATTGTTAAAAGATGGCTCGAAATTTCCTGATGCTTGTCTGCATCTTCATTATTCTTGCTTCAGGTAAATTTCTCTCTTGCGCCGAGCAGTCAGATTAGAAGAAAAGCACAATTTTCTTGATACTTAATAGTTTTATACTTGGCAGGTGCTAAATTGTATGTAAATGCTGTAAATTTGACCTTGGTGAATCTGTGCAAAGAGACAATATGGCCTGGAATCATAACTCACAACAACAACCCGGGCGAAGGTTTCACGTTAAAAATGGGGCAGACAGCCTTATACAATGTCCCGGATGGCTGGAGTGGCCGCATATGGGCACGGACAGGCTGCAGTTTTGACAAAAATGGTGGTAATGCGAGCTCCAAATGCCAAACTGGCGACTGTGGCCCTTCAGTAAACTGTACAAGTCCCGGTAACTTGCCTGTTACCATTGCTGAACTCACTCTTGGAGTTGGCGGATTAATTGATTATTATGATGTCAGCCTTGTGGACGGATTCAACGTTCCGATTGTGGTGAAGCCTGCAAATGGGAAAGGGAACTGCAGCACTGCCGGCTGTGATGGTGACTTGAGGGATACTTGCCCGTCAGAACTTGCTGTGAAGTCCAACGGGACGGTCACAGCTTGTAGGAGCTCCTGTGATGTGTTCAACACAGATGAGTATTGCTGTCGTGGGACATATTTAGACCCTGTGACATGTTTGCCCACAAATTATTCCAGCGCTTTCAAACAAGCATGCCCTGGGGCATCCAGCTATGCTGGTGATATCCTTACAGTAACATGCTCTTCAACAGAATACATTGTGGCCTTCTGTGCATTAAGGTAAGCAATATGTATCTTCATGCATGAAAATTGAGTCTCATCCCAAAGTTTTTTCTGAACAAGAACAAGAACACGTAGATAAACCATACGAGGATATTCATCATACCTTATGATGCTTACTGGATATTTGGTTGATGAATCCAGGAACCAGACAATTTGCTCCTTTCACGATCAAACACTTGTCTGTAGCAATCCTTATGCATCTGCGGGCTTCAAAACAATCCCAGGAAGCTGGTGGAGCCTGGTGCTATCATTACTTTTCACTTCTCTTCTGCAAATTTTCATTTTGCAACCTCTCTAGAGTATCACTTCAAAAAGATGAAGATGCTTATTTTGTTTTTCATTTTTCTTCCCCTATTTTTTCTTTGAAACTCAAGCCAACAGCAAAATCTGTATTAGAGAGAACTAACCATCTCCACCTGCTTTCTATCCATCAAAATTACACAAGTGATCAATGAGACAGAAACGAGGAACCAAAGGTGGGCAGTTTGTTATATAGAAACAGAATAAGCTTCATCAAACAGCCTAAACCTTGCTCAAGTAAATATACGTGTTCTGATTGAGCATATGATCTGCTGAATACAATACAATTTCCAATCTTGCTTTGGATTCATGTTTGTCAAAAACTGTACAGCTCAGAGCCATCAACTAACAATCAAAACTATATTGCCAGGAAGAAAAACTGGCTCTGTACTTATTGTGCTTTTTTTTTTTTTCCTCTTGTTTTGATTGTTGTACTGACTGTGCTCTGATATCTATACAAAGAAAAGAAGAAATTTCGGACATTTCACATGTACTGAGGTCACACCAAAATAATACGCAGAAATTGTAGGTGATAGAACCTGTCTAGGTTTGCTTCTGCCCTGTTCTTTTTCCGATTGCTTGTACACCTGTTTCTCTTTGATTCAATGATGTGGACTCATCATCTTCAAATGGCAATACAACAACCGGGGCTGCTGGCACTGTGACCCAACGTTCCTTTAGCAAACTTATGAACCTCTTGACCATTTTTCTCCTGAACTCAAGCTCTCGAGTGAAGAGATCACAGATAAGAAATGCAAGGACAAACTTGAAAGGAAAAATGAGGAGAATGGTTGCAGAAGCTAGCAACACCAGAGAAACCTCGGTCGTTATCTTAAAAAAAAAAGAAAAAAAGAAGCTTACATAATCATAATTCAATTTGCCAAATCAAACAGTAAAGCTGAAATTAATCTGGTTTAATTTCAATTTACTTCAAGAAAATTGAAGGATATTCGTTAACAAGATATTAATGTCATGGTGTCATACCTGAGGTTGACCTGCAAGAACAACAGTCCGTAGTTTCAGAAGGGTAACGTTCAGATTCTGGAGATAATTTTCCACATCACGCATGGCATCTTTTACAGCTATAATCTTCTGAATGGTATTTGAAGGTGGCTGATCATGGATGGTAACTTTCCCAAAAGATCTGCCCAAGCGACCTTGCTCCTTGAGACCCTTTACAGTTAGCATTGCAGTTGCTAAAACCATCAACCCCATGGGAAAAACATATGACAGCAGATTTCTGAGAGAAAGATCAAAGGTGTCAGCTTTTTGTCTAATTTCACCAGATTGATAAGTTACATTTGGTAAATAAATAGTCATCATCTTGGTCCTAATATAGTTTAGTCCTTTGTGAATGTTGATACTGTTTAGAAGGATCAAAACCCAGGTTAGTTTTTTTTTTTTTAATAAAAAATAATTTAAAACGATGGATTTACCTGAAAATAATTGTATATGCAAACACAAGAAAAGAAACTGTCAGGTATGGCTCCTCCCACCGTCTTAGCTTTCCGAAATTCTTGGCAGTTATTGCCAGAGGAAGCATAAGTTCCTGCAGAAAAAAAAAAAATTGCCAACCATGTTCAGTTAATAGGAAGTGGAAGCACTGATAGTACTCATTCTCCAATGGTACTGACTAGGAATGAATGGTTGGAGGAATTCCAATTGCATCATTTATGGTTCCTAACTTCCCATCATAAACAAGTCAAACAATATAAACTACAAGAGATGATATTTCCAGATCTTAAAAACTTAAGCTGCAGATTCAGGCTCTGGTTAGTATGGTTGTGGTTATTAATTTTTGATTTTGGTTTTCAGAACTCAAACAATCAAAATTAACAATTAAAAACCAAAATTAAAAATTAAAAATTAAAATTGGCAACTTATTGGGTATACATTTTTAAAACTAATACCTACAACTTCAAACTGAATTAATTTATAAAACTTCTTAATTTATCTTAGGGTTGCTAAATTTTTGAAAACCAAAACCGAAAACTCAAAATCACAACCATACTAAATGGAGCCTCAATTTCTATCCTCTTACAAGTAACACGGTGAAACAGATGAACTTACCTTGAAGAGGTCAATGTTACTAGAAATCCCTTTGAGTGTTGCAGCATCAATTGTGGCTTGAGTTTTCTCAACCACCTGGAACTTTTCTTTACATATTAGAGCTGCCCTTTCTACATGAGTCATCTGAGCTACGACAAGATTTTTACTTAATACTACTCCTTGTCTAACTGAAGAGTTCTTCCAGAAACTAACTGAAGCACTGGAATACCAAGATGGTGACCTTAGCCACTTTCGTAAGAAAACACTTCCATCCACATCAATTATGTGATTATTATTTTCAGATGCTTCTCTAGATGGTCTCACTTCTTCAGCTTGTTGAAGCCCTTCCTCTGTAAATCTTGTAACTACTGGTCCACCCCAAAAATTCACTGCTAGAGTTTGGCAAACAACATCACCATGGGGAGCATTCTGCAAAAATGAGTACTGGGCAAGTTTGATTGGATCATCCAATGACTTCCGCATAAACTGAAGTGCCTGAAGTCTAGCAATGCCACTAATAGCAGCTGTAATAGCTTTTTCTTTCCCTTTGTGGGCACCAAACACTTGAAATAGAGACTGGTCATTATCCTCTGGTCCATACTCACGCAGAAACTTGTGTAGAGCAATAACTTCACTGATGAATGCATACCAGATATCTCGTCTTAGTTCACCTCCCAAGTCCACAAACTCCAGCAACCATATCTCTGACCTGAACCAAAATTTAAGAATGGAAAGAATAAAGATTTTTCAGGGGAACTGCATATAGGAAAATAATAATAATAATAATAATAATAACATACTCAAGGCACCTTATCATGGAAGCTGAGAGAATTTAGGAAGAGATACACCAGGACATGCATCATAATACAAAGTAAATACGATTTTTCGATATATGAAGTAAATATGGTTAAATTACAGTAAAATGAACCTTCAGATTAATAAAAAGGCCACTTTGTTGGATGACCTGCCTCTCTTTTTTAAATGTACTATAAGCAAAAGTTCCCTTTTCTAGTGTTTCTTGGCCTGAGAAACACAAATGATCAGAACAAGTCTTGAAAGTGATCACCTTATGCAAAAATAAATGCAAATGCCATGAAGAACTCTTTTTCTATAACTACAGTTGTCACCATTTTCTATTTCAGTAAAATTAAATAAGAATATACTAAGAAAATCAAATTTACAGCCCCCGTGGATATGCCAATGTAAAAAAAGTCTAAAACTCAATGAGTTAAGAATCTTGCAGCAAGTAACCACATAGAAATGTGATTGAAGAAATATACCCAGTAGAAGATGAAATAGAGACTGCAGAATCAAAAAGAACAGAACCAAATGGTCCAACTTTTGCTTTCTCCACCTGTAATCCATGTCTTGTAAGATCAAGTCTTGCAGCATCTTTCTGCCTTAGTAGACCAACAGCCTGCAATGAAGGTGAAGAGATAATAATTAATGATGGGAACATCGAAGTCATTAATTTTGTTCTGGAAAAAAGTAATTAATTTTGAAGTTGATGCAGGCATTTTTAAGACTTCTAACAACATAGGCAAATTCTCCAAGAGAGCATGAACTTTAAGAGTTAACCAGTCACTAATGCCTTCTCAAGTAAGAGTGAACTATTTCAACTTTCAGTTATACATGTAGAGGAGAGAGAGTGTGAGATCATGGAATCAACATCTTTTCTTTTCTCAAAAACTTTTGAAATTCCTAATAGCACTACCACTCATTCCTGAGAAACTGGAAGTTGTAGTTTAGACAGGCTCATGAATCATCATCAACAAAAGAAATATAAAAGAATTTGAAAGAGAACAAATTTCTATGGCATTACTTCATGGTTAACCTTAAATAATTCTATGCAGAACTCAGTTGAAGTACAAATCATAAGTACCTCAAAATGGAGTGTTTTATCAGTTAGAGTGAGTTTTCCTGGCCAAGCCATGTTGTTCTCCCATTTAAGAACTGGCCGCTTTCTACTAGAACCAAGGCACAAGATTCTTTCCTCAGGAAGCAGAGATTCACGATTCTGATATGACCTTCGTCCTTCATGAACTCTACACTAAACCAGTAGGAATTAAGCTTCCTAAAAATTTTAAAGATCCATACACATTTAATGAGCAACAGAAGTGCATTGTATAAGAATTGAACATTTAATGTTTGGCATCATTACACTCCCTAATGTAGGACTTAAAAGAGAAAAATGGGGAAAAACAGAGAGAAGATAAAGATAGAGAGGATAACAATAGATACAGGCTGATTATCACAAAAGTTTGACTTGCTGATTGTGTAAAATCATTTGAACTAATTATTAATATACTTCAAATGTAGTATTATTGTTGTTGTTGTCATGCATATTGTATTACTAAAA